GAAAGGACAAAGGGAAGAGGTGGTTATGGGGAGGAAGTGGGAGGAGAGCTGTTGCATTGTGAGAGATTGTAGTCAATGTCATGAGACAAAGTGTACATGAACTGCTATATGGAAGATGAATTTGCTCTCTAAACTTTCACCCAAATCACAATAAATTTTTTTAAAATAACATTAAAATAAAGTACTATTTTACAATTTATTAACTTAGCACAGGGTTGAAAATGCTCAAGCCAGTGAGGTGTGGTAAAAACGGAACACTTACACATTGCTGGTATTTGCTAAATTTGGCACAACCCTTTAGAAAAGCAATTCTTACCTATCAAGTGAATAATAATAATAATAACATTCACATTAATTTAATTATCTTCTTTCTAGAATTTATTCTAAGGAACTAATCCAAAAGAATGAAAATACAGTATGTCTGGGGAGATATTTCTTGAAGTATCATAACCTGGTAAAAGGATAATAATTTACTGTATGAATTTTGCAGTCATTTTAAACGACAATTATGAAAACAAGGGAACAGCTGATGAGATGTTCAATAGAAGTAAGTGGGGAAAATGGGGAGAGAAGTAAGGAAAGGAAAATAAGGGTCAGGGAGAGATCCCTGAAGTACACCCTCAGGAGCAAAATTTAGGATACCCAAACCACTGCCACCGAAGTCAACTCACAGAGGCGCTATAGAGGAGCACCATAAATCTCAGTAATCATGTTAAATAATATTTAAATGCACAGACCCAGTCCTGTGCAAAATCGTGGTAATTATGTATTAGAATGACAGTGTTTTTCATATCTCACGTTTACAAACTTTATATGTATTTTTTTCATAACGAACTAAAAGGGCAGTTCTCCAAGATCCTCAACCCTCAGAAAGTGTCCCAAGCTTTCTGAGGCTAAGGATAGCGGAATGACAAGGGTTGTTGGAAGTTCCGGCAGCGGGGCTCACCATAAAGCGCAAATTAGACCCTTGGGGAATGACGTTGCCTCGGAGCTCATTGTGAAGATTCACATACTCATTGATAAAGTCTACGTCTTCTTCGAGTGGCAAAAATCTTTCGCTCAAACTGGAACCTAGCAGTAGTAGCCAGAGCTCATAGAGCCACAAATTCAAAATACCCATGGTGCCGTGGGGTGGCTGTGAGGGCTACTCGGAAGAGAAAGGCCTTAGGGACTCCATGATCCACTGGCCGCGGACCACCCAATGCGCACGCGTTGGCCTGCCCTGGTGACCTGCCAATCTACTTGGCTGTACTCACGAATCACGCCCCCGTCTTCCCCGGAAGTAGTTGGGCAGAAACCTCAACTGCAGGGCCGAGAGGGCTTCGAGGGAAACGAAGAGACTTGAGTTAAACGCATGTAGACTTCGCTAAACTAACGTTGCTAAATATTGTCCAGATAGAAAGAGACAAAAATTGTTAGATTTCTGACACCAAGCGACATACTTTAATAAGCTATCAGTAAACGGTAATTGCTGAGTAATTAACTCGTTTTAGGAGCCTTCTGATTAGATTACACAAAGAAAATTAATATTCTTCTGTAATACTGATGAACATTCAATTAATTTTTTTTCCTCCTTATCTGTTGAAACGAGTTCTGGTGGCATTATGGTTAAACACTCCATTTCTAACTAAAAGGTGGGCTGTTGGAACTCACCAGCCACTCTTGTGGGAGAAAGATGAGGCAGTCTGCTTCTTTGAAGAATTTACAGCCTTGGAAACCCTGTAGGGAAATTTTGCTCTGTCCTATAGAGTGACACAACAACAAACAATAAAATGACTATGAGTGGGAGTTGGCGGAGGTGGGTTTGGTTTTTTTGGTTTGTCTGTTGAATTGGGAAATTGATGCAGGGTGTGCCCTTTATTTCCACTTGGGGGGTAATTATCCTAGTTAATACTGACTTCATTAATTGAGATTTTCTCTCT